TATCAACTCTCACTGACATCAGTCGGAGCCAAGATTAGAAAAAATCTGTGGGAGGATCTTACATCTTTACACGGATTGCTTAGTACATCAGTAATACATCAGTATTTCACACTTTTCTATGTTTAGCATTAGCATCTAGCACTGCAACTGTTTATGACTGAGAATAGAGAATGAATAGAATAGAAGCTTCCCGTCAACTGATTATCAAAGTAGATATGCAGCAGCTCTAGTCTCAGACATTCACCGGTTTCAATTTCATTTCAGTCTTGGAAGAAAAGTATTGCAGACGTTTAAAACCTGCGAGTTCGCAGAGGTATAAAGTCTTAATTAAAGGCTTCGCTGTGCTTTAAATGAAATACTTGTTAGATTGCCTAAATGCCTTCTGTCATTTGTCATGACTACAAATGCAGTTTGTATGAACAGAGGAAAGGCTGCATAAAAAGGATACACGCAGCCAACCTCCTATTTTTACTGCTTAGAACACTCAAAATATCAAGGTAACGTGATTCATCAATTTCTGAGTTTCCCCACCTCGTGACTGTTGTTACTTTTCTTGTTCACATAATTACAATTTTCCTGTGAAGTTAATAATCAAATTGTTTGACTTTACACCAGACATCCTTCCTCATGCAACCCTCCAATTTGAGACTGCACTAGCAGTGAGAGTACACTAGCTGGTGACCCCCGTTCATGAGGTTGGGGTTGTGTTTTGCTAACATTCACCTCACAAGCGAAAGGTCACCGGTTCACACGCTAGCATGCAACCCATGCAGGCTATGAGCCTGGATAAATGGGAGGGTTGTGTCTGGTGTAAAAATCTGTGCTAAGCCAAATATGCACACCAATCTGCTGAGAGCAACTCTTTCATTGACCTGCAGCTAACAATCACCTCATTTTTGTGAAGCCTGAATATCAAGGGTCACAGTTGCCAAAGTGAAACTCAGAGAAAGAAAACTGTTAGGGCAAAAAAACCACAGTTACCCAGGCAGTACTGATGTTCTAGTATATAGCCAGGGTTTCATTTTCCACAGAATTATATTGCAGCTCTAACTTGTAGATGATGTATGTAAAAGATATCTTTGACAAATTCTACTATAATCTAGCTTTAATGTTCACAGCAGATACTTTTAAGACTGTATAGAAAATAATGCCAAATACTGAATGTCTGGAACTTCGTTGCAGTTAAAAATGAAGCCTTTACATCCCACAATTTATCATTTTTTTGTAACATCTTATCCAACTTAGGATCACAGGGGGATGCTGGACTCTATCCCAGGTACACAGGGTGAACGGTGGGATATTCCTTAGACAAGTCTCCAGTTCTCACATCTAGAACCATTGCCAAGTTAGAACCATCAATTAACCTAACAAGCATGCATTCAGACTGTGGGAAGAAACCCAGAGGAGACCGACATAGGCTTCAAACTCTTCAAACTCAGAAACTGAAAACTGCACCGCCGTGCTGCCCCACTGCATTTGAAATGATTGAGGAAGATGTAAAACAGGCCTTTCACTTGTGGAAAAGAACTCACTGAATCTAAGAGAGTTCAGAGTAGAAAATCACCTCCATATATCCTGTTAGCACTGAGGTGGAGAGGCAAATAGACAGTTTCATTCTTTCTTTCATTTCCTTCTCCATTCCCTTTCATTTCTTAGTAAAACAGCTTTGAAACTAACACATACACAAACCGAGTCCCAAAATGCCTTTTGTGGCTCGGTTTGTGTATGTCTCTCTTAAACCAAGCTCTGTTTCCTACTTTACCTTTTGCTACGCTTGTTTTAAAACAGGCAAAATGTACAAAACTGCGAACAAGCTAAAACGTCTCAAAAACATGACACAGCAGCTGTTGTGTTATATCAAACAAAATGGAACAAGCAGCAGTAGAAAAACTGGAATTGCATTTTTCTGTGCAGACTAAAAGAAATCTGTGCCCCCTACTGACAGACTTTAAAGAAGAAAACCACCGTTGATAGTGTGGCAAAGAAAGCTGTTTAGGGCTTTTGGAGTGCAGCCCAAAACCTATAATTTTAAGTAGGAACGTGTGCGGTTATTGATCGGGGAATAAACGTGTTGTAGAGTGTCTGAGCTGTCGGCAGGCCATGAAGATTGGGATGAGAGTTTCCTGAGAGTCTACAGCCAATAATTTCAAACTACCTTCTGTGTACTCCCATAATTCCCATAAATATAGCCTTTAATCATATCACTATATATATCTATAGGCTCTTTATAGTTATGGTTACTGACAGTATCCAGCAGTAGAAATGAGTGAGCAGAAAAGTCACAGTATGACAATAGAGAGGAAGAAATAATAATAAATAAAGGCAGGATGTGACTTCATTTTCTGTAACGATAATGCCAAATAATTCTGCACATTACAGCATTTTATTTTTTATTTGAAAATAAAAATAAAATAAAACAAATATTTAAAAAGTATAAAGTGACATTTGCTCTGACACGTTTTGGTGTTTGGTGCAAAACCTACAATTACTTAGTATTTAGCTCATCACCTTACAAACAACACAATGCTTCCCCTGCCTGGTAATTACAGAATGCTGATGCATGTGCGACCACCCTTTGTCCCTACCTTTCATAATAAAAGCCCTTATCATATATTCATACGTGGTATATGATAAGGGCACTATTGTTTGGTCACTAGGCAACAAGATAACATCATGAGACATCATGCATAATTGAAGTTTTGTTGATACAAATGAAATGACATTCATGCTATAAAACTGCATAAATTATAATATATATATATTATCATTTTATTGTGCATAAAACCTACTAATGGGTCAATTTAAGTGATGGTACGTGGTTGCTAGGCATCATATGGTATCACAATATGGGATGTCAAGTTTGTTTTTTCAGCTCCTGCTTGTGTACGATGAGTTCATGGCCACACACAGAGATTAAATGAAATATAGTAAGATACATGTTTAAAATGCTATTGTAAAGAATGGAAACTAAATGAAGCTACTAAAATAGATTAAAGATTATGAAATATAGTTTGTCCATGAAGTAAAAAGCTGACTACATTTTTATGTTGACCATATAAATTTTATCATTTAAAAACATACAGAACTGACTTAAAGGGACAGTTCACACCCACAATTAAACTGATATTTAAACTGTTGGTGCAGGTAGCCCTCCTCTAACTATATCAGGAGCATGCAGCTAGCTAACATTACAGCTGTGAGGGGGAAGCCATCCTGTCATCTGACAAGCACAGGGAGAGGCACGCTTTCTTCTGATGCGTGTGATTTGGCAGAAGGATAAAAGTTCCTGTGAATCTTGTCACATCAAAGTAAATGTTTTTTTTTTTAATTATTTATTAATTTCTTTAGAATAAAAGTGACATTTTTCAAATATCATCTTTTAATTGATTTATTTTTTCTTGGCGCTTTGACAAAGTGCTTTTTTGACTCCATTATTTTTAAGAGAAGGCAGACATCTCTGTATCAATTATCTCTGAAATTGTGACGTTCAAGCCAAAACTCTCTAGATGGGGGTTAAAAACGTGCACATTTAATTTTACATGTAATATTAATTCAGTTATGAAGAATAGGTGTATATAAATGTGTTTGCATTATTTTTATCCCATCACTCTAAAATGTATTACAGCTAAATCCATTCCAATAATTAGAAAGCTATTCGAACCCATAAAAGTAGGTCTTAAGTTGTCTGAAGCGCTTGTGTTGAAGGCACCTGTACTTCTTTTTAGGTTCTTGAAGAAGACCTCTAATCTGAAAGGTGCTCTTATCTTTAGTTCTAAAAGCTCCTGGAGAGTCCCGGGTGTTTAAAAACTTTAGCACTTCTTCTTGTTTGGGTCCTTTTTTGACCATTTAAACTGATTGGAATTGGAGACTGAAGGTGAAGGTTGTGATCCCAGTAGTAGGTTTTGGAACAAATGTGAGTGTGTCTCTTGCGAGCAACCTTGATAATGTGCTTGTCTATTGCAGGTCTGGACGACTGCTTGCAGCAGTATGTGTGTGTCTTTGAGCGTGGAGGTGTTTGTGGGGAGCGGCTGCTGAGGATTAGCCACGCTGAACTTGAGGAGCTGGGAGTCTCTCGCATCGGACACCAGGAGCTCATTCTGGAGGCTGTCGACTTGCTCTGTGCCCTGGTGAGTTTGTGTGTTCTGTTTTGTGCTTCACTGTAGTGCTGAGCTCTCATTAGCAGTCTCTACAGCTGCAGCTTTAATGTATGCCGCTGCCAGTAATGTGTTAGTGTCCTCCGTTAAACCCTGGCATTTCCTAATTGTCCCTATTTCACAGTAAAAACAAATAGCCTCGTTTTGAACATTCGGAGTTCGAAATTAATGCCATGAATACTTTTTTGGCTTGAGAAACATGAATTTATGTTTATCAGAAAAAATGATTCAGCGTTAGCAACCTCCTTTTTCAACATCAGGTGTACAAAGCCAGCAACACTGAAACTAAGGTGGCAATATATGAATCATAAAAAATGAGTTACAAATAATTCATTCAAATGAGGACAGCAAAAATAAAGTCAAATTAAGATGATTAGTATATCCAGTGTTTTTAGATGTAAGATTATAAGGAAGATGAAACCTGAAACACAATGAAACCGGTTTAGGAAGAGTACATCTTAAAAAGAGGAAAAATAATTTCCTCAAATACCAAAATAGTAAATTGGGCAAACTGTTAGTTTAGCCAGACCATTAAGTTATCCATGTCATCTCAGCGCCAGCCCACTGATACCCTTCTACACACTCAATTGATGGGTGTGGCTATTTTAGCTGCTTTAGTTTTCAGCCCGCCCTCCACTCCAGCTCCTCCTTTTCTCACTGTATCTGACTGAATCTGTGCTGCATGTGTTGTCATTAATCTCTGCTCTGTGCTACGTGAGGTTCTTCCTGCTGCGCTCCTTGCTTCTGACTTCCCATGTATGCACATTAAAGGGTAGATCCATACTGCGAAACCGAATTTAACGCAGAGCAAAACAACAGTCGTTATGTAGCACTCTCGACTGAACTGAACTAAACTTGTCACCCTTCTCTGTGCAGTGCTTTTGTCTTCACTGCGTTGTGTGCTGTTTGCTCCACATCTCTGACATCTCCAGTCAATAAATCTGAAGTAAAGTTCCTACAAGCAGATTTTAACATGAGGGCAGAGCAGAATGAAAATGACTTCCAGCAGCCTGGTCACATATTCATTCAGACAATTATTCCAAAAAAGAAAAGAAATCTCAGGAAAACTAGATAAATGTCACGATAATCATCATCATCACCCACTCAGACTGCGTTCTCTGAATAATTCCAACAACCATTTTAGTCATTGTGAGTCATTCATATCCATCATTTTAGTCGCCTCCATCGTGGAAGACAATAAAAAACAAAATGGAGCTTATTTTTTTTACAATAAAATTCACCAATATGCAGCAGAATCGTAATAAAAGCTGGCAAACCTGCTGACAAATAATTTGTATTCATGAAGGTTCGCTGTTCGTGTTTATATCTTTGTTTACATCTAGAACTCGGGGCTGGAGACAGAGAGCGTCAGGACTCTGGCTCACAAGCTCGGCGCCTCGGCCAAGAACTTGCAGAACTTCATTTCCGGACGGCGCCGGAGCAGCCAATCAGAGAGCAGGAGCTCGCGGCGCCTCCCCAATGATCTGCTGACCTCTGTGGTCGACCTCATCACCGCCGCCAAGAGCCTGCTGGCCTGGCTGGACAGGTGAATATACTCTCTAAATTTGTCCTTGCGCACAGACGCGTGTGTTTATCCAAAGGAGTGATGATGCAGGTTGGTGCTTTAGTTGTACAAACAGATTTTATGATTTACCCTTTGTGGTGTGCCATAGGGTATATGCTCAAAATCTGAGGATTTCCATGCTTGCAGACTGTTTGTGTTATTCAACGATTCACTTGTATGACAGCAGATCTAGTCATGCGAGAGATAAAAATGTGAACTACGTCAAACTTCAGATTTTAGCCAAGCCGTGCAGCTCCTTGAAACCTAAATCAAATCAATATTTGTCTTTGCAACAAGACCAATTCTCCTCGGTACACTTGGCAGGTGATGTTTTTCCGAGACTCTTCTGTGAGTTTAGTCTGTCTCACTGTCTTCTGTCTGATCCTCACCATCATGGAGCCTGATCCCAAACTCTGTGATGTTGAGATCTGGGCCAGACCACCTGTTGTAAGACTCAAGTTATCAGACACCACCCGATGCTACTGTCTCGGTTTGGATTTGTTTATTAGCACAAAAATAGATAGAAAACTCGTTCTGAGTACGATCCTCTGTCATAATAAAGGCTGTTCAAATTAGGATTGTTCAATATGTCCATGATGAAAAAATTAACAGTGTTTATGTAGGGCGATTAACACCACATGCTACAGGCACTTATACTGTGCAATGCACTGTTACAATGCTTTTAATTAGGGCCCTCCATGAACATAACTCAATCAATTTGTCTATTACATTTATTAAAACGGGACCCAGAGAGCTCAGAAGGCTTTGCAGTGATATTTTGATGAGATGACACACTGTATTGACTTAAGTTAAGAAAGTCAATAAGCCTTCAGTGGTCAGTCACTAGATATTTTGGGTTTGCTCAGCTTTTGTTCTACATTATTTGATCAAATTACTTTGAAATAAATGTCAAAATATCAACATTAAATATGGATTTTTTTTTACAGTGTAGGCAGAATCGGGTGCTCTGACTGGGGTCTCAGAAGATTTCTGCATATGCATTTGTATTAAAACATAATAAAACACTGATTAAAATACAAGAGAATGCAATGATTCAAAATAGCTGGGAACAAAGTGATTTACAGAGTGATGAAAACTTGGAAAAATACATGAAATGTAATATAATTAAATCACATATGATTAAAAAAGTACCTCTGGGGTCTGTAGGTAGGGTTAATATAAATAAATGAACAAAACAATAATAGTAATTTATGAGTGTTCATAAATTATTTAAACATTTTTTATGTCAGCTTCACATTACAGTGGACCAGTTATGCATATAACCCTGAGGCAGGCTAGAAAGGTATACTGGAAATGACTTGCCCACCATTACTTCTGTGTCTCAAAAGACCGAATATCACGAGAGACTTTAATTTAAATTTTATTTTGTAATTTAACTCACAAATTTAAACTTAAATATTAACTCATCCATGACATGTAATGTGAAATATTTGCACTGTTTGTACGATGCTGTATGAAAGGAATCTAGTATCAGATTATTCAAATATTTCTCATCATGTTTGAGTGAATATAAATACTGTGTATCTAGATCTGGGCAATAAAACAATAAAGATCATTATTGTGAAACAGCTTTTACTTGATAGAAATATAAGATGGGTTAAATGTAAAGTCGAAAGAACTTGTCCATCCATGTTTTGACTGATGAAAAGTAAGGTCATTGATAATGAGAGTAGCACCAAACCAGTCATGTGGTGGAAACAGATTTATAACCATGTCAGATTATGTTGACATAGAGCGTAGGAGGAGCAGCCTGCAGCAGCACATATGCTAATGTTTGCTCTATTGAAGCCATACACACAAGTACGTTAGGAATGAATGACTGACAAAATTGTCAAGGTCTGCAGGAAGAGCAGACGGAGTCCGATGTGGAGAACCCAAATGCAGATGTCTTAAGACAGAATAATCTTAACAAAAGGCGAGTGGTTCTTTCTCTGATAATCCACAAACAAAAGACTGAGCATTAAATATAAAAATGAAGTGAAAACTTTAAATTACATTAACTAAACTTGGCAAAATACAACGAGATACAAGGAAGTGGGAAACACTGGGAACGTGCTGACAAAGGACACAGGGAGACTGACACAACAGGAGGGTGATTGAGACAGCTGGGAAACACAGCTGGACCAAATTAGACATAATGAGACAGGGGAAGCAAAAGTGATCATGTGGGATGAGGGACTATCAAAATAAAACAGGAAGCACAAACATATTGAGACTAAGAGACACAAGGTTGACACAGAAAACAGGTAAACAAACATGGGGACATGGCAGATTTAACATGGAGCATACTAAAATAAAAATAAAAATACAGAGATGTGACAAAGGACAGTAGGGCAACACTAAGGGAACTATTAAACCTTAAATCTAAACTAAACTAGATATTCATAATACATTGGAAAAACAATATGGGAATGAGAATAACTAATAAGAAAATATATAAATAGAATCTAGGAACATAAAAAAAAATTCTCAAAGCCTAAAACAATGAAGATGTAACAAAATTCCACACTAAAGACAAAAACACCATGTCCAAGACCCAGAACCATGACAACAAAAAATGTTCATGAAAAACTGCTGTCAAACAAGAAATACCAAGAGACACAGCCCAAGGCTCAAAAGATGAGGACATTGTTTGAAAAGAAGGATCAGAGCCTCTTTAAAGGCCTTCAAAGAAGCAACGTAGCACACACTGCAAATGGTGTTGCAAACATGTTACCACAAAGACGGGTAGCAGTGTGGCTCATTTTTACCATCTTAAGCAGTGCCATATGCACAGTGCAACACTTTACAGTCCAAGGCAGTTTGTCCAGCACCATCCCTTGTGACAAAAGGTGAAGAGACACTGATAACACAAATGCAACGGCCTACTTTGTTGTAAAAGACACGATGCCAGTAAGCACAATCGAACATGTCGAATTTTAGCAGCTGATTAAAGTAATTGACCCCAGTTGCAAAAGTCCATGACCATAAAAGGTCATTGCCAAAAAGGCTGGCTGTTCACAGAGTGCCTATCAAAGCATGGTAATGGAAAGTTGACTGGAAGAGAAAAGCGTGGTAAGAAACAAATGTGTAATCAATAAGGATAGCTGCACCCTCAAGAGGACTGTCGAGAAAAGTGGATTCAAGAACTTTAGTCAGAGCATCAAGCGTTACCACGAGCACACGTCTTCAGGGAAAAAAAGCTACAGCTTTCACATTCTTAATTTCAAGCCAGTCTTGAACCAGAGAAAATAGCAGAAGCATCGTGGCATATGGAGAAAAAGAACTGGAGTGCTGCTTAGTGGTCCAAAGTCCTTTTTCAGATGGAAATAAGCTTTGCTTCTCATTGGGAAATCAATGTCCTAGGGTTGGATGGAAGAGTCAAGAAACTCAGAATCCAATTTTTTTAAGCAAAGTGTGATGTTTCAGATGTCTCTGATCTGGTGTCCCATGTCATGTGCTGGTCTTGGTGGTGGTTGGCCCAAAGTCAATGCAGCCATTTGCTTTCAACCTTAATGAAGATGCTGATTTCATTTTCTAGCATGACTTAGCACCCTACCACATTGCCAAATCTACTACAGAATGGTTTTCTGACCATGTTATCACTGTGCATGATTTGCTAGCCAAGTCATCTGTCTTGGACCTCACACAGAATCCATGGGTACTGTCAGGAGGAAGAAACACTCCACTCAAATTAGCTTAAAGGCCACTTTCAAAGCAACATGGACTTTGAGAACACCTGTCAAAAGCTGACCCACTACATGCCAAACTAAACTGATACAGAAATTCATGAAAACCTAACCAAGTGCTGAGTGTGTAAATGATCATGCTTTTCATTTCAGTATTAAAAATCCTTTTTTATTCCTCAGTCATAAGGTTGATTGATTTGACTGTATTGTTATCATCCTGCTGGGTAGGCAGGCAAGCAATATGTAGACCCAAGTTTGTGAATGAGATAACTGAAGAAGAAAGTCACCTAGGAGTTTTTAATTGATACCATAGGTCTATCTACTAAACATCTCGGGCCAGTTTGAATCTCAGTAACCTCGACCTCAAGGTTAGAAGTCAGAGGTCAAGTTTTCTGAAAATCTTCTGCATGCAATAACAAGAACAAGGCAATGTGGGAATTTGAAATTCATACCATAGGTATACCTATGGTATGGTATGAAGGATGAGGGGATACCATTGGCTGCCAGCAGTATTTTTAATAATAATTTTTTTAATAATTTTGGATACTGGAGTTCAGATTTTCATGTGCCACCACGATCATCCAAATTAAAAGTGATGATATTATAATATACTGAGATCTACTTGTGTAATCATAATCTGAAAGACAAAGAAGTGCATTTCAGTTTTTGTAATATGTGATGTAACCTTAACTGAAAACTTAACTTGGTGTCCATTTGTCCTTATTTTGGGACCTTATGTACAAATTCAAAAAATCAGTTAATCTAAAAAGAAATGTTTAGGAAAAAACTAAAATAGTGACTGCAGTAACAAATCCTCTCTCACTTCTCTGTTTTGTACAAGGAAAGCACCAATCTGCAAAACACAAGCTCCCTCCTGCAGATGTTGGTTGTTGACATTGTTTTTGTGAAATATGTTGGGTTTTTTTGTAAAGGGATAATCTCAGACGTTTTTCGCTCTCAACATGCTTCTCTCCTCACTCTCTTCTGTTGTCTGTCACTTCATTTATTCATGACTCGACACGATCTTCTGCGCACAGCACACACGTAAGCTACACAACTAAAGGTCTTTGACATCGGTTCTTGAAATGCCAGGCACCCACACCTGTCCTCAGGCCAGCTAGGCCACAAAACAAACATTAATGCATAGAGCCTCCGACTCATAGAAACGCCCACGGCCTCGTAAAAACACACACTCGCAGACACACACCCACCTCGGCACGCACTGACACGCACTTATGCAAGTGCACACGCGGTCGCCCACGCAAAGTGATGCAATTGAAAATGGCAAAGCGACATT